AACAGCACCTGTCAGGTAGACGTCCTCCAGGGTTTCGGCAAAGTAAAACTTTCATATATTCTAGATGCATTACACAGTGAAATATTTCAGCCCTTTTTTGTTTTAATCTTGATGATTACGGCTCACAGTTCATGGAAATCAAAAATCCATATCTCAAAATAATAGAATAAAGAATGTATAAAACAGAAAAGTTGACCTGAGAAGAGTCTTTAATCTCACAGTCTGTTTCGGTACACACAACCACAATCAAGGAGACTTCTGACTTGACAGATGTCCAGAAGACACTCATTACACCCTCCACAACGAGGGTAAGCCAGGTAAGCCAAGGGCTGAAAGGGCTGGCTGGTCGCAGAGTGTTGTATCAAAGCATATTCATGGAAAGCTGACTGGAAGGTTAAAGGGTGGTAGGAAAAGGTGCACAAGCAACATGACCGCAGGATTGTCAAGCAAAGCCAATTTAAGAACTTGGGGCAACTTCACAATGGTGGACTGTGGGTGGAGTTATTGCATCAAGAGCCACAATGCACAGACTGGTCCAGGAAATGTTGCATTCTTGGTGTCAAGCCACTCCTGAACCAGAGACGACATCAGAAGTGTCTTACGTGGGCTAAGGAGAAAAAGAACTGGAGTGCTGCTCAGATGTTGGTCCACTGTCTTTTATCAAGTCCAGCGTCAATGCAGCTGTCTACCAGGAGATTTTAAGAGCATGCTTCCATCTGCTGACTTTTCAGTATTATACATTATTTTTTCTAATATTCTTTTATTTTTAGATATGAATGGTTCGATTTCCATGATCTGTAAGCTGTAATCATCTAGATTTACCCAAAAATATCCCTGAAACATTTCAGGGATGTGACGAATCTACATTTATATGAAAGTTTCACTTAAAAAATTATGAGAAAAAAAAAACTTTTTCACTATATTAAAATTTTCTGAGATGCACCCATAGGATGCACATGTAAAGTAGCCATACAGAAGCGGGATCCGGCTTGTACGGCTCTCTATTAATCTCTTAGAGGAGCACAACAGCAGATGAAGGGAAAGAGAAAGTTTGGCAGCGTCTATGTGTGTTTATTTTGTAATAATGTAACACAAAACATTATTTTAGAGTTTTGTAAATGCCTTAAAATCAGCACAAGGGGCAAAAAATGATCTCACTTACTGTGATAGTCACTGTACTCTACATCCTCTACAGGTTCTCCTTCCTATCCAGAAGGTCGTCAACATACCATTTGGGAGTTTTCCTCGGTTTCTTTATAAACAACAAATGTAGTGTTTTAAACAGGAAAACTGTGATTCTTATGTTGTGTAAAGAATTCATGACTTAGAACGGATGAAAAAGCTTGAACTTTTCCCAACATGTTTATTATCAGCAAAAATAGACACCAATTAGAATAGAAAAGTGTAATCGGAGAGGGTCAGAGATTGATGCAAAGTAGTCTCATTCTATTACCAGAACAGAGATCCGAGTTGACATGACGGCATGTAACAACTGATTTTCAACTTCTTTTGGACCTCCTGTTTCTAAGCATTATGTCATCTCTTGGCTCTCTTTGCTGATGCACCTGTTTCTGTGGAAATTCCCAGATATTAAAGTGGCTGTCATGGATTCACCACACGGCTGGTCAGCAGAGCAAAGATGTCTGCCTGACTGCTACCTCTCTGTGGCCTTGGCATGACATCATGACATCTCAACTTCACCTGGCTTTGTGGGAAGTTCTGGTGAGCTTGTGTCTTCTGTGCTGTGTGCTAGAGACAGGACATCCTGTGCTCCCTCACTTTGCTGTGTGTCGTCTTCTACCTCTGCCTGACAGCACACACAGGTACTCCTCTTGAGCAGTCAGATACAGAGAGGAGCACACATACAGAGCTAAAAAGTTTTAACACTGTGATCTTAACTTTAGCTCTCTATGTAGTTACCAAATACACAAGCATACACAAATTAACACTATTAAAGTTTGTAAATCAAAAGGACAGATTGCAAAGATCAAAACATTTTCTGATTACATAATTATGGTAACTCAATCACTTATTGCTTAAAACCCATCATTCTTTTAATACATTGCTCACAAGAGGTCTAACAAAGGATTTTCCCAAACTGTCTTCTTCTTACCTTTTTGCTAACACTCGTTTTTCATTTGTTTATACTTTCTTGTGTACTCACACATGATAATTTCCCAACACCTGAGTTCTTATGTAGTCAAATAAAAAATAAATACTCACAAAGAGGAGAAATGATTGTCACTGCTTGGAACAAAGACTCATCATGCAGAGAGAGTCATTTTTAAACCTTAAAACATATTAGAACTCATGTGTATATATAGTGTTTGTTAATGCATACATAAAAAGAGTGGCCAGTAGAGGAGTTTAAACAAAAGTGGCTGCACTAGTAACTTCAAACTATAGCTTAAAACATTAAGATGGTAAATATTACACAACACCTATTCATCTTTGTTCATGAAAGGACAAAAGTTAAATTAGATTTATTAAATGAACATGTCAAGTATGAATTGAATATGATTGAATACAAGCTTCTTTTTTTTTTCTCAAATGTTTTCAATTACTCTGATTGAACTTAAAGAAACTATGTCTCAGATGATGAGAGTTTCCTCCAGCCCTCTTGACATAATCCCAATTAAGTTTTTATTTGAAGTCACAGATTGTATTGATCCACATTTGCTATCAGTTTTGAACAGCTGGCTGTCGACTGGTTGTGTCCCGGAGTACTTTAAAATCCAACCAGTCCTAAAAAAACCTGGCCTTGACATCCTAGACAATTATCGTCTGATATTTAATCTGCCTTTTATTTAAAAGATATTTTTTTAGATAGATGGAAGCTCTGGGTGGGCATATCTGTAACTGGAATGAACTGGTTCGTTAAATAGGATGTTTTGTGTCTCAACTAACAATTCCATGTCATCTTATTCTCATGTGGTGGGCCTCAAGGGTCCACTCTAGGACCGATTAGCTGTTCCAACTAGGTGATGTCATCCACTGACATGGTATTTCTTTTCATTTTTAATGCGGACGACACACAGTTGTACCTCCGTGTTAAGCCCACTGTCATCATAGTAAGATCATAGTACCTTATTACCCCACCAGAGCACTGCACTCCCAGAATGCAGGGTAGAGTCTCCAAAAGTAGAATGGGAGCCAGAGCATTCAGCTGTCAAGCTCCTCTCCTTTGGAACCAGGTTCCAGTTTTGGTTCAGGAGACACACACCATCTCCAAATTTAAGATTAGGCTTAAGACTTTCCTCTTTGATACAGCTTATATTTATTTATTTATTTTTATTTAACCTTTATTCAAACTCGAGCACACGCACAACAACAAAGAAGTTAGGGCTGTCTCAGGTGAGACCATCCTGTAGTTATGCTGCTATAGGCCTAGACTGCCGGGGGGGCTTCCCATGGTGCACTGACCTCTTCTCTCCTCCTCTTTCTTTACGTCTGTATGCAAACATATCCAATTAATGCATGTTTCTAACTCAACTTCTTCCCTCTCCCATAGTTGTGTGCTTTCTCGTCCCTCTCCTCTCTCCTCCTTTCACTTTATGCAGCCATTTGTCATTTCTGTACCAATGCTACTTTTACTGCTTGTATTTTCTGTGTGGATATTGTGTGACCCCCAACCCTCAACCTGAGCCGTGGTTTTGCTGGTTCCTGCCTCTTAAAAGTAAGTTTTTCCTTGTTTCTGTCACCTCTGTCAAGTGCTTGCTCGTGGTGGGAAATGTTCTCTGGAAATGTTCTCTGTAAACAATATTAAACAGAGTACGGTATGCTATGTGAAAAGTGCAATAAGATGACTTTTGTTATGAAATGGGGCTAAATAAACTGGCCATCATAGGCTCCGTAATCAATACAAACAGATATTTGCATGCAGATAAATAAGATAATGAAGGTTGTATTTTTTATGGCAGAAACTTTGAACTTGATTGTATAAGCCTGCACAGGTGTTTGTGATATTGTATTCACTACCTGTAGATGACACAAAGCACATGAGCAGTTTTCTCATACCAGCACATTATTTTAGGGTTTCGTAAATGCTCTTTAAATCAGCTCAAGGAGCAAAAAAAACAATCTCACACACTTTGTACTCTACATCCTATCCAGAAGGTGATCAACAGACCAATCCATTTTATTTCTTAAGCACAATTCAATCTATATTACTTCTTAATCTAATTTCATACAAGGTAGGCTGAGTGGAGATTTTTTTCTTTCTTAGAATTATTGTATGTAGGGTTTCTCCACAGAAACCGATGAAGTAGCACCCAAAATAAACTTAACAGGCTGTTTTCTGCTTTAAGATGTTCAAATTTGCAGCGTTAACAGGATGTTTTATGTCATCTTAAGACAACCATTTCCTGCTCCCAGGAGGAAAAAGCTCCTTTCTCTCTGCTAATCCGGAGAAAACTAGTGATTTTAATATGAATATTATAGTATATAACTCAAAAAAGTAAAATCAAATATCATTTTCAACTTTAACATTTCTTGTAATGATTTATGTTAAACCCCTCCTAACGTGTCCACAGAAAAACAAAAAACAAAGGGAACAGTGGAAACTTGACGTTCAAAAACTCTAGCTCTGTAAATCTCAAGTCCTGGAAAAAGAATTTGCAAGGGTAAATCACAAGATGTCCCTTGTAACTTACGTTGTTAAGGATGATTACTATGTATTAGACACAACATTAAAATAGCTCAACAGGAATAAAGCAAAGAGAAAGCCTAATAGGCGATTGTGTTTTGAGTTTACCTTGAATTGTAAAACATCTATGTGGGGTTACTTTTTTCACTAGATTTGCGACACCTCTCATTTGACGGACGGAGCTTTGCGTCAAGTCCGGCCCTCTTCTCTGCCTCTGATTGGCTAACCCAACCCTAACCCTAACCAACCTAACCAACGGAGGCAACTAGTACTAGCCAATCAGAACGCCTTCATGTGCCAACGATCACGCCCCCCAATCAGGGAAACATCTAGGAGTCATTCCTGTTTGGGGAGTTTCGGCTGCGTTGTTACTGTATGCGCGACAACCACCTAATATTTCTACGAGACACACACATTAAACGTAACAGACCTGTTAGAGCTGCTTTGTTCCAGTGTCCTAAAGACATGTTTCCAAGTGACTTTGCGTGGGGAGCGGCAACTGCTGCGTATCAAATAGAAGGTATGTATAACTTGAGGTTTTATAGTCTATGATACAACCACGAGATTGGTGAACTGGACACAATATTACCAACACCCGTGCAGGCTAGTGTAATAAATAGACCCACAAATAACAGTTAAGTTATTAAGCAATAGGCTACTTTTTAAATTTTTTTATTCTTTATTGAACATGTTGAAAGACAACAAAAACTAAATAAAAACAAATAATCAACAAAAAAGATCATCAGCAGATGATCCAAATAACATGTTCAAAGGGGGTAGCAGGAAGTTAGAATAACTTTTCTTGTCCTACCCCCACTTCAATGATATATTTTAACTAATTGTTTGCATCACTTAGATTTTCAAACTAAATAAAAATCAACAAAAAAGAAAATCACTGTTCCAGCTCATATCCATCTAGGATTTTTTTTTAAATAGAAATTTCAGTTGCAATAGGTTTTTACATAACTTTAAATCATTATTATTGTTGTTCCACAGGATAACACCCTGGGTTGTTATACAGTGGAACTTACTATTTGTTCGAATTAACGGTTTACTAAACGTTGGTATTCCTCTGAAAATGTATGTGTTTTCTCGTAGTTGAAAAAGCTCTTGGATATTTCTAGGCAATTGGTTATTATGTGCTCTAAAAACAATTTGAAAATAGTTTTGTAGTCAATCAAATCTTTGAACTTTAATATTTTGAGTTTAATGAACAATGGGTTTGTTGGTTCTCTGTATGTATTTTATATATGATTCGAATAGCTCTTAATGACTTTTTTGGTTTTAATATACTTTATATGAGGTTTCCAGCTTAATTTGCTATCAGTAACTACCCCAGGGAATTTTATTTCGGATACTCGTTCTAGTTCTATACCATTTATCATTAGTTTCTCTAGTTCTGTTTCGGTTAATTGGTTCCCAAATATTAGAAATTTAGTTTTACTCAAATTCAGTGTCAGTTTATTTTCATCAAACCAAATCTTCATTTTACTCACTTCCTTTTCCATGGTATCCAGTAGCTTCTCCAAATTTTCACCACAGCATAGTAGGTTTGTGTCATCAGCAAAAAGAACTTGATATTCCTTTTGTTTAGACTAGAACTTTCTGTAGTTCTGTAACTATCAATACATTGCTCTACAACAAATGATGCAAACCTGCTTATTATTGATTTAATGTCAGTGTCAATGTCAAACATCATGGACTAACTAACTACAGATAATTAAGATAATGATAAAGGTTGTATTTTTTATGGCAGAAACTTGATCGTATAAGCCTGCACAGGTGTTCATACAAGAGTTTGGTTGCATAAATATAATGAGAGGTTTAATTAAGTTGCTCACAGGTTGACACCTAAAGTAAAACTGACACACTTACAAAAATCTACAGACATTTATGTTTATAATAGAAGACAAAAGCAAAAATTGAAACAATAAATCCTACTGGAGATAAGCCAAAGATACAGTCAAAACAAATTCAGTAAAATCCACAGACACACTCAAAGTCCCAATAGAAACATTCTATGTGATTCTATTTTTATTTTTATGTCAACATCCTTTATTTCTATGTAATGAAACAACCTATTTGTGCACGTTGAGGTGGCTGGCAGACAGACGGCAAGGGACCAAGTATCTGGGACACGTTTTGTCACGAGAAAGGCAGAGTGTTTGGGGAGCAGAATGGAGATGTAGCCTGTAACAGCTATGAGCTGTGGGAGAAGGACCTAGAGTGTATCCAGCAGCTCGGACTGACGCACTATCGCCTGTCTCTCTCCTGGGCCCGCCTTCTGCCTGATGGGACCACACGACATGTCAATCAAAAAGGTATTTTCATATCCCCATTAGACCCATGCCATTTTTGATGCCAAAACAACACAATGGAACAAGCTTATTTGATGGATGTAGTGCTGTTTTACCTTACTACCCATTAACAACAGCACTGTACATCTGTCCCAACAGGTGTACAGTACTACAACAAGGTGATCGATGATTTGCTGGCCTGTGGTGTATCACCTATGGTCACACTTTACCACTTTGACCTGCCTCAAGCTCTCCAAGATCAGGGTGGCTGGAAATCACCGGGTATAGCGGCCCTGTTTGACAGCTATGCCAGGTTTTGTTTCCAAACATTTGGTGACCGTGTCAAACTTTGGCTCACTATCAACGAGCCCCATGTGTGCGCCAAACTGGGCCATGAAGACGGCATCCATGCGCCAGGGTTAAAAGAACCGGGGATTGCTGCCTACCTGGCGGGTCACAACATGTTGCGTGCCCACGCCATGGCCTGGCACAGCTACAACTCCTTCTACAGGACAGAGCAGAAGGGCGCAGTGTCTCTGGCCATTAACAGCAACTGGCTCGAGCCATTACACGCAGGTTGTGCTGAGGATATCGCTGCCACTGAACGTTGTCGTGCATTTACACTAGGGTGGTTCACCTGGCCTGTGTTTGTAAACGGAGATTATCCAGAAATAATGAGATCTGCCGTCGACGCTCAAAGTAAGAAGTTGGGCTACAGTGGCAGCCCAAGACTGCCCAGTTTCTCAAAGGATGAGCCTGCCGTTTTGGGCACAGCGGACTTCTTTGCATTGAACTACTATACGTCTCGTAAAGTTAAGCCAGGAGGAGGTTGTGAAAAGACGCTGTGTATGAAGAGCGACCGAGATGCAGAAGAAGTTTTGGATCCGTCGTGGCCTATTTGTGGTGTGTCCTGGCTCGCTGTAGTGCCCCATGGCCTACGGAAAACTCTCAAGTACATCAAGGTAAAAATTTCCCTACCTGTTAATCTTTGGCAGTCATTTTCTGTCATGTATTGCTTTAAGTCAGCTCCTACCAGTCCACACAGTACCCCAAACAAGGCTCCAACACGTCCTTTATTTTGACTGTGAATTCAAACAATAAAAGTGAAATATGAAGCCATTTTTCTTTTTTTTCTCTTGCCATCAAACTGAATTGACCAACAAGAAGACAAATTACCTTCAACCAAACGAGAAGAACACTGACATTTGTTTAGTGTCTTGCTATTGATTTTGTATGCAGTAATCTCCTTTTAACACCTCCAGAAACACATTGATGCTTCATTAGTGCTGTCACATTGAATGAAACAGTTACTTTGCTGAAAGTGTTTGCAATTGCAATTTCCTGCTGTTGTGACTTGTCACAGGCCATTAGGTTTGAGCTTGGCACCGCTGAAATGCAGCTAAACGGCACAGTGTAGACCAATCTGTCTCTTCCCTGCAATGTCTGACAGCTGAGATGCCTTGTTTGACAATAATGTTTGGCCCATGACTTTCCAGGACACTTTCAACAACCCAGCAGTCTACATTACAGAGAATGGCTTCTCTCAGGTGGGGCAGCTGCAAATTCATGATGTCCAGCGCGCAGAGTTTTACAAGGACACCATTTTGGAAGTGGCTAAAGGTAAATCTTCATTGGAAATAAGCAAATAGCCATTAGCGGTAGTAGGATCCAAGACAACGGGCAAATGACAGTGATTATTTTAATTCAGCATTCTGGGAATATTTACATAACATTTTATGTCAGTCTTGCAGCTGGAAATGAATAACTGCATGACAACTTGTCCTTAGTAAGATTAAGGGTATGTTACACCTTCACACGTCTTGCATTTGGGTATAAACAAATCTGCAAAGATTGAAAGCTTTTGAGTCATACCTCACTTTCTGCTTATCACTAACAAGGTCACCATCTGTGCACTATAGGCAAAGTCTTATAATGTTCAGATTCAGAGTGCAAAATGGTAGAAAAACAATTACGGTGGAAACAAAAACGTGGGTGTTCAATAGATTTTTCCTGATTCTTGCCCAAATTTAAAGCCGTTTGTTTTAGGCACAGCCATCTGGCCATTCTTTTAATGCCAGGGATGCTGAAAGTTATCTACCAAATCGGAGAGCTTCTAGGAATCATGGTTTCTGTAGGATGGCATGGCAGTCATTTAAGGCGAGCTCAAAGGAGAAAATTATTATAGCCCCTTTGGCTAGGTTACATATGCTGTATAATATCAAAGAATGGAAGTTGGCATGAGATTAGAGATGCCTTGCATGGTAGTCATAGAAAGTCATGCACAGTTAATGAATGACTTGCAGTTTATGAGAATAAATCTAGGCAACTGAACCTTGTACTTGGTGAAAGTAAGTCATGCTCTTTGTATGCTTCAGAAATCTTCATAATGAATAATCTTGTCATGTATCATTGATGGCTGTATCCTCCAAAACACAAACCTACATACATTACAAAATTTAAAAAAAATTAATAATTCTATGTTTTATCTCTCTGTGTTCTTGTATAGCTGTACAAGAAGATGGGGTCAACGTCCGTGGATATTTTGCATGGTCACTGCTTGACAACTTTGAATGGGAAGATGGATTCAGTGTTCGTTTTGGATTGTTCCACGTGGACTTCGCAGACGCAAAGCTAGGCCGAACCATGTACCAGTCTGGACGGCAGTATGCAAAGATTGTCTTGAAATACAGATGAGGAGACAGAACTTTCTTATACGTTCGTAATAAACTTTTTTTTGTCTCACTTTCATACAAATTAGATGAATCAAGTTCAATTAACCAACCAGACGCCTGTTTCCATCCATTGCAGATCCAAAATCAAAAGCACCACTTATTTATGTTCAGTTTAGAAAGTGGTCCGGGAAAAGTCCAACAAGCAGGGTTTTACTTTTTAATTTGTTGCCTTTGGGGGACATGGGAGACAAAGGGACTGCTCCAGGGGAGGAGTTAATGCCCAAACATTGTCTGCAGTGATTAAACTAAGGGACCAAGACAAGTGCCAAGACAAAGAAGTATGAGAGAATAAATGCTTTTTTAAATGTCTGTTTGGTCATTTAAATTCGACACAAAACTCCTGTACCACCTCACCCGTCACATTGGGAAGAACCGTTCAAAAGAAAAAAAGTCAACTCAGTTATTATTATGCCGACAGTCCACTAGACTCAGAAGGGATGCCAGCTGAAAGCAACAGATGTCCTGCCACAGGAAGAGAGTGTAATGCCATTTGTGTTCCAATGGCAGCTGTGCAAATTCTGTCCTTAAAGAAAGAAAAGAACAAACAAGGTGAAAAGCCTTCTGTAGTTAAAGTAGGATTATTTTTATGCATTGCTGAACAATACACAGATCAACAAGACCCGAGAGAGCCAGATTGCATTGTAGACTTTGACATTAGTGTGTAGAGGTGTGTCCAAAATACAGTGAGATATTGTAGATCATTTGTAATGTTTTAGGTTCAAGTTTAAGGAAATGCCAATTAAAAAAAATCAACATGATCTTTGCTTTTAACTAATCAGAGAACCAAGAGGAGCAGCTTGATGGCACCTGTTTGTAAGCCTACAGTGTCACTTTGTGGTAATCAAGGGAATTACAGCTTTGAATTCAACAGCCCAGTGTGTGCTGCAATTCACAATATGGTGTCACGTGCTGTGCTGCTTTGATTGATAAAATGCATCCTGTTGGTTTAACAATAAACAACTAAAGCAGCTCCCTAACCACAATACATCATAGATTTAACGCAATTAATATTTATGCTCTGATGTGAAGGAAAATGTAATTTATATTCTGTGTTGGGAGACTTTGTTTGCATTAATAAGCATGGTGTATCGTGACATCCAGTTGGCTGTGCATACTGTTTTCAACAGATGTGAGTAATACCCTTGTGGCCCTCCTCCATCTATGTCAAGCTGAGTGAGATTCTCCTTTGTCTTATGATGAATAACAAGCTATTGTGGAAAGATGAATAATGCTACTGCCGCTCGCATTAGAACTTTTTTGCAGGCAGCTTTGAACACAAAGTTGAACGGCACTGCACACTATTTCATCGCTAATGAAGTTATCTAATATCTGTGCCTCTGTCAGGAGCTGCTGGTGATCTTTAAATCTCTGCAGAACGATGGTGACAGAGCATAAAACACTAAACATTTACTAAACAGATGTAACGTGTGACTTGTCAGGTGGTGACACTGGTGGGAACTGATTAAAAATCAACTGATGTGTTAATAAAAATTATGGTAAGAATGACAAGCAGCAAATTAAAATTCTGTTACCTGTGTCACAGACAAAATCATGACTAAAGCAGGTTTGAATCAAGCTTCCAATCATTCATCAATGCAGCCGATGGGCAACTAAATTCCCAGCTAAGAGTTGATTAGTAATTCCACCGACTGTCTCCCAGTATTGATGGATTCCATCTTCCTCTATCACTGGCTAGAGGTAGCTGCATGGGTGAAAGAACCACCCCTGCTGCTGAATTGATCGAATGAAATATGAGCAAGAAGTTACTCTGCACTTAGTGAATGTTGAAATCAGCCATTTGTGGGGAACTGGGGGATAATATGTGCCTATTGCAGGTTGGAAAGCTTAAAACATTAATTAGCATTTAAATAATTCACTCCTCAAGTCTCTTTAATAGCCCAACTACGAATATTCAACTTCAATTTATTACAGCGGGCTGAATTTATTCTGATTAGGCCGTGATGTAGAAAGTCACAGAAGAAACCATCTCTAAATGTACTTTCCAATTAAGCGCCAAATATATCATGTGTATAGATAAGTTGCTTTTGACAATGAATTAGTACGTTTAATTGTAACATTCAATCACATTCAGTGGCAGAGATTTACCCCGAGGAACATTCTGGCAAATTACCAAGAGAGGCCCATTTGTATTTGACCAAACTTAACTCATTATATTTTGACAGGCACTATGAAATATTCAATAACTGGGAAATTCATTTATTATAAATTAACTAAATAATGTAGCTGCTGATAAACTATCTTCATTGTGAATTATAGGAAAAGCACAATCTCGTGTATCGTTGCAGTGCTTACAGGTGCAAAGGGTATGACTTCTGGCAAATAATTACCTTTTTCTATTTACTGATTACCCTCATATGCATAGTCCCTGGAGAAATTGTATAATTAGATTTTTGCTTCAATATCAAGATGAAGAGACATCAGCCACTCCCTTCCTCTAGAACACAGATACTAATCTCTTCCCCTTCCTCTCACTCTCTTTGTCTGGGTCTCTCAGTCAGCTGGTAAGGGACCCGTGAGAGGCCCAAACCACCACTCCGCCTGTCTTATTCCTTTCTTTCTCTTGCTCTTTTTCGCTCACTCTCTGTAGCTCATCATCTTCCTCTCTCCTAATCGCATTGCTCATTTTCCATTGACAAGAGAGTATGAGGAGAGAGGGAAAAGGGGGGGGGGAACAGCACAAACTTTCTAAATCCCATTGACCTACTTCGCCAGACATTTCACTGGGAATTCATATTAGTGCAAAAGAGTTTGAAGAAGAAATGTTTTCTCATCCACCCCCCCCCCCCCCCCCCCCCGCCCGTCTTTCCTCATAACCCCCCTCTTTCTCTTTCAGCTGGAAGCCATTTTCCTCACATCGTGCATTTGATCCTGTATGAGCACTACAGTGCATTGTACAAGTGGATAAACGCCTTACCGTGGCGTAACCAGCGGTTTGGATCTCTGTCACTTTTGACAGTGGCGTAAGAAGCGTGACACATTGGCACTATAATAAGCCCTTTGGAAGACCTCATCTTTGATTGATGAATTTGGTGTCGGAGACAAGATTGAGAGGGATGAATATTGCTAGGCCTTGAAGACAGGAAGTGGAATTATGACAGACCCATACAGAGAACTAACACGGGGAGACGGTCTGAGAATAAAAAGAGAAAGGCAATTCAAATCTTTTTCTTTTAAGTCCCTCCCTGAGGGACTGCAGATGACCCTGCTAACGACTGTTGAAATTCTAACTCCCTTGAGTGTGATGGCGCCACGTGATGGGAGGGGGTTCGCAGACCTGCTTGAAAAATTTAAAGCTCCTAGAATATTCAGCTAACCCTGTGTGCTCGGTTGGGGGTGGTGAAGGGGGGGCGCACACAGAGATTGGTATTCAGGGCCTTTTTTTGTGGTGGGTAAGCCCACCAGTGGTGGCAAGAGAGAACCCCCCTTCGCGTGCGTGTGGTGGTCAATGAGCCGAGAGCCGTGTCTCATGGGAACAGTGGTAGGAGTGCGACTGAACATAAGAGACAAAGGGAAAGAGACAATTTATGGAACCTGGACTGAGGAGAATATATGTGTGATGGCGGTGTAGTTATCAGGCCCGGATCCAAGCAGAGAGACTAATGACGTGGATATTACCTTGTGCTCCCAATATGCAAACACAATGTCATCAACAAAGACAGAGTGCGAAAAACTCTTCTGCTTTAAATCTCCTATGAAACTTTAGAGACAGAAAATGGTTACCAGTCGATCTTATCTGTCTGTTCATCCCACATTTACCTTGACCTAACATGTTTTTATTTTTGTAGTTTTGGTAATCATTCCTATTGGTAATAATAATACTCAACATCTTTACTGTAAAAAGAAATCAGACGGCAAAAAACACAAGCAGTAACGCGATCATCTGTGGATTATTATTACCTAGCCTACATTTCGGTTATGCTCAATGGTTTAGATTATAGTCCCCAACTGCCAGGACATGGAAACATTCACCAGTGGGAATAATATGATTCAGGGAAAATGCAGAATTAATTTTATAATTGTATAGGTTATATGTGCAGTAATTACCTTGATTGTCTGTCTGTGTTGCATTTTTCTTCCTTTACTCCCTGTCATGTCCACAACTACAGGATACTGGTTTTGAACTGAAGTTAGCCATCCTAATGTAAGATAATCAGTCCGTCATCACCCACGAATCCACTCTATGGCTGTGTCCGAAATCACCCACGACTCACTATATAGTGGACTATATAGTGAGCTCACTCGCATTATTAACTCACATTAACAACACTTTCGGACACTACTCCGATCGTTATTTTGGTGCCGTTAATGACATCATTGCCATCGGACAATCAGTTTTTTCTATCAGCGCAATGCATGATGGTATATATGGTTTGGTTAGTGACCATCGGTTGTACACTACTTTTCAAAATGCATTGTGGGATACATTGAGTGGACTATATAGGGTATAATAACTCTCACTATACATTCGGACAGCACTACAAAATGGAAAGCTCACTCCCTACACAGGGGGTAGGGAGTAGTGAATGAGTGGAGATTTCGGACACAGCCTATGTGCTGTGTTTTCCTCTTGCAACAAGCTAGCTAACACGAGTAAAACCTAAACAGTTAGAGCTTGTAAGAATTTGAGAGAAGTGGAAAGTTTCTCTGGGGAAGGTAAGAGGAATAAAGGTCTAATGTGTGTGTTATAATAACATTGTTTTATTCGCTAGATTACCCCTGGTTGTTGATATTCTGGCTATTCTTGCCCAGTTGAACTTTTGTTCAGCGATATCGAATTGCTCTCCAATAGTCGACCAAACCATTAGTTGATTAGAAGAGTCTTTGTCAGCCGAGTCGTCATTGGTCCAATAGACGCAGAACCCCGAGACTGGACACAGGCCCTGAGCTACAACCAATCCCCATATTAGGTAAAGGGTTGAGATTGACCTGACCAGATCCAGCAAATGAAACATGAGCTCGGCAGATTCATCTGGGTCCCAGGCTAACCTATCGCCAAATACGACGACACAATAACATTGACATTCTCATAAAAGAATGCTGAATTTAGATACAGCAATTAGTTATTTTCTTTTGCTGCAGTTTCACGTTAAAAGCATTTAAATGAGGAAACACAAATTGACTTTTATTATGAAGAAGTCACAAGAAATGCAATGTGTGTGTGTTTGTGAGATTGGCACTGACAGCTATCGTTTATCAAAAATGTGTCTACAACAACAAGACAACGGTCATTTTCAACAGTTTCTGACAGCGGATCAGTGTGAAATATTGCAGGGAGTAATGGAACAAG